TGAGGCCAGGCAGTCTCGGGGGTATGGGGTTTTTATAAACATAACGGTCTAAGTGTACTTAGTGTACTAGACTCTGGATACTTAAACCTACTGCTTTTGCCCGCTTAAAGCCGCTGTCCACTGGCTCAAACGGTAGTTTGTATCTGTATATATATCGTGTTGTCCTGTATTGTACACTTTGCTACAGAAAGTCGGGCCCTTGCTATTCTGGCGCCCTTGTCCTTCATGCCAGTTGAGTGATAAGGCACGCTTGTTATGTGGGTGGGTATCAAGGCACCCGACTTATTACATTAGTGGTAGTGTTCGGGGTCTTAAGTTGGTATCTAGTTTGGGAGCGCGGACCTCCTTAATGTGCGGGCTATGGCCGCGCATGCCTGGTGTCCCCGCTCCTCCCGCCCCGGCGTCCGCTCCCGTCCCCGCGTGCTCCGCTCCCTAGGGTGTCCCCACCCCCCGGCCTGTACCCTTCCCACCGGGGCTGCACCCCCGTCTCGTGAGGTTGCGCCGGGACCTTGGCTATGTGCACTCGTCCGAATTAGGCTAGTTGCCTGTGTCAGAGTCCGACGGGGTGCAGGGGGTGCGGTCCGAGAACAGGCACTGCATACTGGGGACTTGCTGGCAGCATTCCCCCCGCGTCCCCTGGCGCCACTTCGCGCCACCGCTATATTTGCTTTAGGCTGCATTAGCCTATCCCCCTGTGTGCCTTTGGCAGTCTCAGCATCATGACACGCACGGTTGTTCTTTTTTTATATATTATAATGAAGTGCGAGCTGTGTGCTCGAGTCTTCCTGCCTGTCGGCTCTGCTCATGGATGTATAATAAGGCTCTGCTGCTCCGACATGATGGTCTAGCTTCAGCAGCTACATTACCTACGGGTGCGTTCGTTAATATTAACTGTGCGTCCGGAGTCATTGTGGCACAGACTGGACCGCTGGTGAACAGCTGTTAGAAGGGGCCGTTCAGGTGTTCAGAGCAGAGCTCCCTGTTGGAGCGGCAGAGCGTGATGTGAACTGAAAAGTTTTTCTGTGGCAATATTATTTAAGGAATCGTTGAGCTAGCTAGCTAGCATACATTGTCACTATCTGCTAACGTTAGCTTTAGCCTTCTATTTCTAATAGTTTTTCATAGGCTATAAACAGAGGTGGTATAAGTATATATCTTGTACTTGATTAAAAGTAGAAGTACTCAGTTCTTGTACTTGAGTAAAAGTAGAAGTACTCAGGTCTTGTACTTGAGTAAAAGTAGAAGCACACAGATCTTGTACTAGAGTAAAAGTAGAAGTACTCAGATCTTGTACTTGAGTAAAAGTAGAAGTACTCATATCTTGTACTTGAGTAAAAGTAATAGTCCCAGAGTGTAGGAATACTCTGTTACAGTAAAAGTCCTGCATTCAAAATGTTCCTCAAGTAAAAGTAGAAAAGTATTATCATCAAAATATAGTGAAAGTAGCGACAGTAAAAGTAGTCATTGTGCAGATTGGTCCATTTCAGAATAATATATATGATATGTTTTATAATGATTGATCATGAAAGTGTTCTCAAAGCTGGTAAAGGTGCAGCTAGTTTGAATGACTTTGTATACTGCAGGGTAGCTTGTGGATTTACTCCAGGTGGAACTAAAGTCTGATTTAACACTTGATTATATTTCACATCATTCATCCACATCTGTAACTAAAGGTATTAAATACATGTAGGGGAGTAGAAGTACACCATGCACCTCTGAACTGTAGTGGAGTAGAAGAACAAAGTAGCAAAACATTGAAATACTTAAATAAAGTACAAGTATCTCAAAATTGTGCCCAAGTATAGTACTTGTTGAGTTTATGAACTTAGTTACTTTACGCCATGTGGCTATAAAGATAGAAAGACTAAGCCTTGCACAGAGGCATGAAAATACATTTTCAAAATGCTCAACAGTGCTGCCAAAATTATAAACTGACTGCTACACAATTTAAAAATAAATGCTTTTATATATTTCTATTAGATGTGACTCTTTGGCGTTTCTGTTATTATTAACACTGTTGCTTTAGTTGTTCTGACTGCTAAAATCCTCTGTTATTCCTAATTTTAAAGCCGATATTCCGTGGGGTGGGGGAGCCGGGGGCTCGGATCCTTGTCACCTTTTTCATACCTGATGAGTTTGCATCCCTGTTTATTAATACCCACAGGTACATTTAATTAGCTCTGACACACACATAGGCCTGAGATACCTTTGTGCACAAACAGCACTTATACACGTTAATGGGGAGGTGTCCTATAAAGGGGGTTACCATCATTAGGCAGCCTAAAACACTTACATAAACACTGTGTGTGTGTGTTCCAGTGCACATAGCATACTGCGTGTCACTTTTACTAACCATAAGACATACCAGCGTAGAATTATGTGGTTATGAAAATTACCTTTTTTTAAATTTAATTGTAAGGGAAATCCACATTCCAACTGTAGTGAATAGTTAGTGAGGTGATCTCAGATAGAGCCTAAAGCGATGATTCATCATGAACGTTCTTGCATACTCAGACATGTCGGTCCCGCTACGGTGAGGCTGATTCTGAATCTCAAAGATCACATTCTGCGCTGCCACTTTCTGTATTTTCATGTGGAATGCTGAACAGGTCAAGGCAAGCGAATGGAGGTGAACTGTTCATAGGGCATGTACCTGTCTGTATGATAGGGAGAGACATGTGTCAGCCTTTAGTACCCCCACAGCCATTTAACACCATCACACTTTCACTCCTTTGCCATCTATAATGACAGGTACTGACTAAATGATAATGTGCATTTCAGATAGACTTGTCTCATCACACTGCATGTTTTCTCCGAGCTGCAGTCAGTGCTCTGTTTGCATCTGTTTCTCTTTAGCTGCTTGTTGACTCTGCTAGTTTGGTTCTTCTGACCAATCCCGTCGCTGCTTCTGATGACGTCACAGCTTCTCGCTTGTAATTAACATGCCTCAGAGGAAAATATGCATCTGCAGTGTTTTGTATCTGTTTGGGAGGATCTCTTGTTCCCACATAACATTTTGATGAATTATTCATAGATTGACATTTTCCCCTTTTTTCAATCGTTTGTTGTTTCTGTGGAGATGGAGGAGCTCGAGTCGAATTGAAGAGCGGTGTATGATTGAAAATATGACTCCATAATAAGGGGGCATTGTTCAGCAGAGTGCAGCTTTATTCGACCCATATGTTCCCAGCCTTCTAAACAAGCTGCTGCTCTGACTGAAATGCTGACTGCAGGGTTTGTTTTTAGCTTACTATTCCTCCTTGCTGTGAACAACATAACATTATTACGCCTGGCCTGGTTTACATGAGGCTGCTTTCAGGTCAGATCATAATTTCTATAAAAACATTGGTACGTTAAAGGTATAATTATAGCATTTAAAAAAAAATCAAACTCCTATTATTAAATATAAATAATGCTACTTTTGATTATATTCTATTATTAGGTATTAAGGAAACCAAATAGGCACACAATATTAAATAGATAAAATTAGAGACTATTTTCTCCTGATCTGTTGTACATTTTATTTCCTGTGAATTTAACTGCCTAAAATGTACTATTATCTTGTACATATTAACTGTTTCTGTTATGATTGAACATACAGATTTGTATTTAGCTATAGGAAATGACCAAGCATTAGGCATCCCTAAAAACATGTAATAATTATAAGGAAAACACTGGTGTAATTGTTGTTAAGT